ATGCCCAAATTCATGATCAAAATCCAAGAATACCAATTTTTAGGTTTTTCTTCAAAATCTTAAGTTTCTACAAATTTTCATGCTTGAATCCATGTATAAATCTTGTATTTAACTCACAATACATGAGAATCACTTACCTTGACATAGATGATGAAACTCCCTCCTTGAAGCCCTCCAAAATCGCCCCAACCAAGTGAAAAATGGGAAAAAAATGAGTCAAGTCCCGTTCTTAAATCAATCTGCCCAGCTGACTTCCGCACCTGCGGTACATCAGCTGCATCTCCGATCTCGCAGGTGCGGCCAAAGCCTCGCACCTGCGCATATCCTCTACCCGGTACAGCTCCGCACCTACACCTGCGATGATAAACGCGCCTCTGCAGTCTCACACATGCGGAGACTTTCCGCTTCTGCGACTCCAGATGCCAGCTCACATTCTGCTTCTGCGGAGCTTTCCTCGCATCTGCGGGCTCGCAGATGCGGAAATATCCTCGCATCTGTGGCCATCCCAGCTCCGTCCAAATGTCGCTTCTGCGACCACATCGCCGCACCTGCGAGCTCGCACTTATGGCCTTTTTCATGCAGGTGCGATTGCACAAGATATCAGTTGCCTAAGCATTTCTTCCAAGCCCAAACTCGATCCGTTAACTATTCGGAATCCACCCGATGCCCTCGGGACCTCAACCAAATATACCAACACGCAATCACCATACAAAGCTATTCCCAGGCTAGGAATTTCAAACGGACGTCGATAACATTGAAATGCACTTCAACCCAAATTTATGAAATTCTTTCAAAATGCCAACTTCCATAATAGGCGCCGAAATACTCCCGGGTCAACCAAAACCTGATCTGGACATACGCCGAAGTTTAAAATCATCATACAAACCTGTTGGAACCTTCAAATCCCGATTCCGAGGCCGTTTACTCAAAATCAAACCTTAGTCAATTCCTCCAACTTAAAGCTTCCGACTTTAGAATTTTCTCTCCAAATCAACTCTGAACTACCCGAAATTCAATTATGACCACACGCACAAGTCATAATATCTGAAGTGAAGCTACTCATGGGCTCAAACTGACGAACGACGTGCTAGAGCTCAAAACGACTGATCGGGCCGTTACAATTTCGGAAAAAAGAATGTGCGAAAATACTCTTGAAGAAGTTTTTCAAAGTAACTCTCAAGGGCTAGTAGATTATAAACCGAAACTTGGCCTTGAGTTTTCTAGTGACGAGGATGCACTTAACTATTATAATGAGTATGCAAGAAGAGTTGGTTTTAGCGTTCGCAAAGTATACATCAATTTAAATAAAAAATTGGGTTATGTAACATCACGGAAGATTACATGTTTCAAGGAGGGTTTTTGTAGAGATGATAAACGAAAAGATCAAGTTAAAATATTATGAAGAGAAACTCGAATAGGATGTCAAGCTCATATTATTGTTACCCATCACTCAATGGGAAAGTACCATATTACTAAAGTTGAATTGGAACATAATCTCGCACTTGTTCCACCGACAATGGTTCATATGTTGTCATCTCACCGAAGGATAAACGAAGTTCAGGCTCATGAAATAGATTTAGTAGAGGATGCTGGATTATTTTCTAAAGCAACATTTGATTTTATGAGTCTTCAAGCTGGAGGTCGAATAAATTTGGGTTATACCAAGTTAGATCAGAAGAACTACCTTCGAACAAAATGATAAAAGGCTATGAGACGAGGGGAAGCAGGTAAATAAACTTACATACAATGTCTATAAGAAATATATTATCATTTCTTATTTTTATTAGACTTCTTAATGTAATTTTCTAATATTAGAAAATAATAAAGTATAATGTAATATTTTTTTTCTTATTTCGTCCAGGAGTACTGTTAGAGTATTTCGGAGGCGCTTTAATGTATGATGAGACTGCAGATTCCTTTTAGTGGTTGTTTGAAACGTTTCTTAGAGCAATGTCTGGGGAAAATCCAAAAATAATTTTTACAGATCAAGATGTTGCTATGAGTAAGGCCATCTCACTTGTCATGACTGAAGTTTATCACATGTTATGCGTCTGGCACATGGAGCAAAATGCAGCTAAACATCTCAATCAAATTTATAAAAGGTACGCTTCTTTCCATGGTGATTTTGAAAAATGCATTTATAAGTATGAAGATGAAGAAGAATTTATGGATGCTTGGAATACAATGCTTAATGAATATAACCTTCACGAAAATGAATGATTGCAAGGAATATATGCATTAAGGAAAAAACTATTTGCAGCATATGGAAAGAAAACTTTTTCGGGTGGTATGATCATCACACAATTGAGTGAGAGTTTGAATGGTGATTTAAAGGATTACTTGCAGTCTAATTATAATTTAGTATAACTTTTTAAGCATTATTATCGAGCAATTGAGGATAAGCGATATAATGAGCTGTAAGATACTTGTGATGCATCACAACGAATTCCAGTATTAAAAGCACAAGTTCCTATTTTGGTTCATGCTAGAGAGGTCTATACCTCAAATATTTTCGCAAAATTTCAAGATGAATATATGAAATCTTTATCAATCAAAGTGAATATTGGATGTGAAAAGAACACTTTGTCCACCATTTCCAAGGTTAGTAAATATGGGCATACTCGAGAGTATATTGTTACAGTGACAGAGGTAGGCCATATATCTTGTACTTGCTTGAAGTTTGAGTCTATGGGTATATTTTGTTGCAATGCAATAAGAGTCCTCGATGCAGTGAATGGAGTTAGTAGAATTCCAACTGAGTATATTTTGGAAAGATGGAAAAAAAAATGCAAAGGGCATAAATATTAAAGAAGTTGATGAGCAAGAAATAGAGATCAAGGTTCCAAAGTTGATTACTATGAATCGTTATAGAGTTCTTTGTCCTATATTTGTTAGAATGGTAGCAAAAGCTTCTGAAACAGATGATGGTTATAAGGTAGCAGTAGCATATGCAAATGAGCTAAGTTCAAATTGAAGTAAATTACAGAGGAAACAACTCCATTTCTTTGTACTAGTGGTTCAACAAGAGATTTACCAGAAGAAAATAATAACATAAATATCCTCACACGAGCCAAAAATTTAAAAAAGAAAGATGGGAAACGCCATAAAAAGAGGATCAAACCTTCCCTCGAGGTGAACGCAAATAGCAAGAAAGCTCGAGGAAACAAGTCAAGTTCCGCTAACCAGGATGGACCGAGAGTCGATGATAGAGCTCTATCTGATAATGAAAAATGTTTAAATCAAGTATATCATATTTTATTTTTCAACTATTAGAGTATCTCATATATATCATTTCTTATAATATTTTAGAAATTACACTAATATTTTTATTAATTGCCAGGATCCAATATCAAAGAGAAATATTTTTGAGAATTCTGATTTAAATGCCTCTTAGACCGTGGCTTGTGCTAGCTTATCCCACAGTTCAGAGTTTTCTCTTTCGTTGCCATACCCTAGCTTTACTCAAATGCTGACGGTAAATATAACAATTTATTTTAATCTAAGTTAAACTTATAATTTCGCTTTCAATTAACTTCATTATTTATATTTGTGCAGGAACCTTTTTGTTTTAATACTTTTGCACATGCACAAAAGTCTTATTTACTTTTTCAAGATCAGGTATCTATTAGATGAAGTTTTTATTTTTATCTTTAATGTAAAAATTAGCTATTAATATTTCAAAATTGTTTACGTCTTGCAGGCAAAGCTTTTCGAGAGTCAAGGATCACTAAAGTTCCAAGATAACAATACATTATGATCAATGTCAGTTTTTATTTTATGTTGACTTTTTTCGAATATTCGATATACTGGATATTTTTGAAATGAAATTAAGTGAAGTATTGCTTTTAGTAAACTTGACTGGACGTATAGAGGATCTTTATCTTATTTTCTCACATACAGTTTCGTAAATATTCTGTAGCATCAGTACAAGTCATTGTGACCTACGCTCATTTGGAAATTTTGCAATCTTGCAAATATTTCATGAAGTTGGATTAGGTAAAAGTAAAAGTTGAATACTGTTTTATTTTGCTAAAAGTAAGAGACATATTTTAATATATTAAAAGGAAAAAAACGGTGAGAAACTTGGGTTAACTCTTAACAGTGGAGTTAGGAGAACTTTTACCATTTTAGTACTCTTTTTATTAGTATAAGAGTTAAATGAATCTCAGCCATTAATCATTTTATGATCCACATGGCATGAATCTATATGGCTATTGAATATTACTTGAGGTAATAATACTTGAGTGGATCTTTTTCCCTGAAACTTTACGGGAATTCTGTTACCCCCGAACAACTTTGAAGTAGTATAAGTATCCTTTTGTTGGCGAACACCAGTTATAAGAGAGAAAGTGCAAACATACACCAATCCTAGCACCACGTGTCAGATTCATTTAATGTATTCCATTTTCTTTTTATTTATATCTTTTAATTTTATCCCTTTTTCGTTTTCGTTTTCTTTTTCGCTTTACTCTTCTCCTTAGCTCCCCGTCAAACATCTTTCGCCGTAGCTACTATCACTGCCGTGACCTAACAACCACCTCCATATTGGACTCCATAAAACTGTAATATACTCGAAATGGAAATTGAACAAACCAATTCGAAATTTTATTATTGACTGAATGGGTTACAATAGTGAAACTAAATTGATTACAATGGAAGAATAAGAACTACAACTCCATTGAAGGTCTTCAAGTATACTTGAAATAATGGGTAATCGAATTAGGAAGAAGAAGAGAAGAGAATTAATGAGAAAATAAAAAAGAAGAGAGAAGAGTAGAGAGAAAGTGTAACAGAAAAATACCGGTTAAAAGTCTAGTGTACTCTCCCCAGCCCAATTCAGTTATAATAATTGAGGCCCAAGTTGTTATAATTAATTGAATCTGGTCCATCCAATATTAATTTTCCATCTGCAATCACAACCGTCCAATACCATCTACACGTGCCTTCCTAAACTACACATGCCTATGCATTATAACCCTAGCTATCTTTCTTTCCTAATTCATTTCTTCTCTGACACTAATCTCAACCTTTCCAAAATATTACAATACCTCTCCCATGAAACAGACTTTGTCCTCAAGGTCTATACTGAGCTACAAACTCCAAAAATTGACTTCTCATGTACCCCCAATCCTCCCAAGTTGCATCTTCAAGGCTCAGATTAGCCCACTGAACCAACACCTTAACCCCAACCCCATTGTTGACTTTCACCATTTTCCTTTGAAGAATAACAATCAGCTGAATCAAGACTCGACCATCGACGTCACAGATCAGAGGTTGCAGCTGAAGAGTGACTGCTAGACCTATTCGACACTTCAATTGTTAAATATGGAAAACCAGGTGGATCTGTGAACCTGGAGGAAGATCAAGCCGGTAAGCTACTGCTCTTATACATTGTAGCACTTTGTATGGACCATAGTAGCGAGCACTCAATTTTAAATTCTTTCTGATTGCTACAAATATTTGTCTATAGGGTTGTAGCATTAGATACACATAGTTGCCTTTCTCGAAATGCCTATCTGTTCTGTCACGATCTACATAGAATTTCATCTAGGCCTGTGCTTGTGTGAGATTCTCCTTTAGATGTTGCATCATGTGTTGTCTCTGGGTGATTCATGCACCAGTCTGGGTATGGGACGAGTAAGGGAGAGACCCCAGGGAAACCTGTGGAGGTGGGAACCAACAGAGGGCCTGAAATGGTGTGGATTTCAAGGCATTGTGGTAGTTGGTGTTGTACCACCATTCTGCCAATGGAATCTATTTTACCCACTGCTTTTCGTTAGTAAATACTATAGCCCTCAAATAGGACTCTAAATACCTGTTTAATCTTCAGTCCGGCCATCAGCTTAGGGGTGGTAGGAGGTTAACATGTGTAATTTGGTTCCCAAAGACTTAAACAGTCTTTGCCAAAATTAACTCTTAAAAATAGCATCTCTATGAGTCACAATAGACTTGGGTAGACCATGCAATTTATAAACTTCTCTTAGAAATGGATATGTAACATCTTGTGCAGTGTAGGGATGACTCAAAGCTAAGAAATGACCATACTCTATCAATCTGTACACTATAACTAGGACAGTATTCTTGTGATTTGAGGAGGGTAGACCTTCCACAAAATCCAAGGCAATGTCTTGCCAAGGAAGATCAGGAATGGGTAGAGGCTGCAATAGTCCAACTGGGTTTATGTTTTCAGTCTTGACCCTCTCATAATCATCACATTCTGAAACCCATTTGAACACCTCTGACTTCATGTTAGGCTAGTAGAAAAACATCTATATCCTTTTGTAGGTCCCTTGTTAGCCAAAGTGTCTTCCCAAGGGAGAGAGGTGTAGCACCTCAAAAATCTTTGCTCTTAGATTAGTGCTCTTCCCCACATAAATCCTGTGATCTTGCCTCATAATTCCTTGGGTCAATGATAAATTGGGCCTGCTGTTAGGTGCAGTAATTAGCTCAGTGATCAACTGCAATGCTTGTGGATCATTTTCATAACTCTGCTCTATATTCTTCATCTAAGTAGGGTCTAATGTAGTAATGGCATTAAGAGTGGAATTCTCTTCTTGTCTCCTTGACAGGGCATCTGCCACCTTGTTCTCTGCACCCTTCTTATATTGCACCTCATAATCTAACCCCATCAGTTTAGCCAGTCCCTTTTGTTATCGGGAAATAGTGACTCTTTGTTCAAGTAAGTAGTTTAGGCTTTGGTGGTTAGTCTTTATGATAAAATGGCCACCTTGCAGATAGTGCCTCCATTTATCCACAGTTGACAACACAACCATATACTCCTTCTCATAAGTGGACAACCCCACATGTGTAGGTGAAAGTACCTTGCTGAAAAAGGCTATAGGCCTCCATTGTTGCATAAGGACTGCTCCCATCCCACTAGAGCATGCATCAGTTTCTATCACAAAATGTTGATTGAAGTCAGCCAAGGCTAATACAGGAGCAGTAGTGATGGCCACTTTTAGTGCTTGAAAGGCTGCTTCAGTGTCCTCATTCCAATGAAACCCATTCTTCTTCAGTAAGTTAGTTAATGGCATGTTGATAACTCCATAGGACTTAATAAATCTCCTGTAGTACTCTGTCAACCCCAGGAAGCCTCTTAATGCCTTAACAGATTTTGGTGTTGGCCAATTGGACATAGCTTCAATTTTTGAGGGATCAATGGAGATCCCTTCCCCATATATAATGTGCCCTAGGTATTCCACCTCGGGTTATCCAAAAGAACATTTGGACAATTTAGCAAACAATTACTCCTTCCTTAATATGTTCAACACTTTTTTGAGGTGAAATACATGATCCTACATTTATGCACTGTATACTAGAATGTCATCAAAAACTACTAGTATAATTTCCCTAAATGAGCATGAAAAATATGGTTCATGGAGACTGAAAGGTGGCTAGAGCATTGGTCAGGCCAAAGGGCTTGATCTTAAACTTATAATGTCCCAAATGTGTTCTAAATGCAGTTTTATAGATATCCTTATCCCCTATTCTAATTTTATGACAACCAGCCCTAAGATCTATCTTAGAGTATATACATAAGCCGTGTAATTCATCCATCAAATCATCTACCAAGGGAATATGAAACTTATCCTTAATTGTCATGTGGTTAAGGGCCCTATAATCAATACAAAATCTCCAACTTCCATCCTTCTTTTTAACTAGTAAAATAGGTAAAGAAAATGGTGAATGACTGGGCTGAATTATCCCACTATGAAGCATTTCATTCACTTGTTTCTCTATTTTATTTTTCTGGAAAACATTTTACCTGTAAGGTCTTATACTGACTGGATTGGCTTATGATTTTAGGGGAATGAAGTGGTCATGGTTTCTCTTTGGAGGCAAGGTTTTGGGCTCAGAGAAGACATCTGGGAATTCCTTCAACACCTGTTGAATAGATGCAGGTATGTTCTCCTCTATCTGTGGTTCTGCTGCTCAGATAGTGCACAAATGAGCGCTCCCCTTGATGGTAAATGCCCTTGAGTTCCACCTTTTTACCCTTGTGTGTCACATGGATTTTTATACTCTATAAAGTCCAAAATAATATGGTTGTGTCCCTTAATCCAATCTCCCCCCAAAATCATGCCATTACCCCCAAGTTTGAGTAATCTCACTGAATCTTCAAACTCTATCCCCTGTATCTTCTACTTAAACTTGGGACATGTGTATAGATTGCACAAATGATTTCTATTTGCCACTGTGACTCTCATAGAAGCAGTCTCTCTGATGACACATCCCCTCTTTTTAGATGTCTCTAAGTCCAGGAAGCTATAAGTGCTTCCTGAGTTAAGTAAGATTGTTATAGTATTCTTCTTAGACTCCTCCTTTAGTGTGATGGTATTAGGTACTTCAGTACCTGAAAGGGAATTCAAGCTAATTTCCTCATCCATGATTTCTTTTACTTGTGCTCCTATGTCTTCAAACTTTGTATTAGTCTCCCCTTCTGGTGGTTCCATGGAGGCAGACATGTCATTCAGCTGTTTATGTTTACATTGATGTCCTGGGTGGTACTTCTCACCACACTTATAACACAAACCTTGTGCTTTTCTAGTTTCAAAGAGTCTGTTACTTTGTCTTACAAATCCTGTACTCCTGTTGGCCACAGTTGAACCTGATCTATTGGAATTTGTGGGCATCAGACTCATTCCCCATATTGCTTTCCCTTTTTTAACCCAAGTGTCTATTATATTTTCTTGGTGTCTAGCCTTTTTTACTGCTTGACTCAAGGTAAATGAGTTAAGCATCTTAGCAGTATGCCTTATTTCTTCTTTTAATCCTTCTACAAAGAATTCTAAGAAGAATTCTTCAGGAATTGTTGGACTCTTAATCAATACCCAAGCTTTCAAGTCTTCAAACCTCTCCAAGTATTCATTAACACTGCCCTTTTGTTAAATCTTTTTGAATTTTCCTATAAGATTGAATTTACTATTTTTAGCATCTTGAAAGCTTTTGCACGATTCTTCATAAAATTCACGCCAGCTAACATTTCCCCTGCTCAATTGATAGAAAAAATACTATGCTTCAGCCTTGCCTTGGAGATGAATAACTGCTTCTTCCAGTTTTTGCCCTTGCTGAGTGATGTGATTGTAGTGGAAATATTATTCACACCTCTCAACCACGAACATAGATTTGCCACTCCTGCTCCATCAAAATAGGGAAATTCTACCCTCGAATTGAAGTTGATGTGATGGGTTCTTTCTCCAGCTCCGGGAGTGGTAAATGGCTCTCCTCTATGCTCACTCTTGTGTCTGCTCTCAGAACCTTCGAGGAAATGACTACCAGAAGGAGCACTTCCTAAAATTCCTGCTTAACTGGGAAGTAACTTCTCCATTAGAACATCAAGCTTACTCGACAATTCATCTATCTTAGCATCTGTGGATTCCGATTTCTTATCTGTATTCTCTATATGATTCTGTAGCTGGATTTCTAGTTTTTTGACATTTTCCTTCATAGATTTGGATCTAGTTTCTGGAATTGTTATTTTATAATATTATGGGCAGGAATTTCTTTGATACCAATTTGTAATATACTCGAAATGAAAATTGAATAAAATAATTAGGAATTTTATTATTGACTGAATAAGTTACAATAGTGAAACTCAAATGATTACAATGGAAGAATAAGAACTACAACTCCATTGAAAATCTTCAAGTACACCTGAAATAGTGGGGAATAGAATTAGGAAGAAGAAGAGAAGAGAATTGATGAGAAAATGAAGAAGAAGGGGGAAGAGTAGAGAGAGAGTGTGTAACAAAAAATTACCGGTTAAAAGTCTAGTGGACTCTACCTATCCCAATTCTGTTATAACAGTTGAGCCCCAAGTTTTTACAACTAATTGAATGTGGTCCATCCAATATTAATTCCCCATCTGTGATCGCAACCGTCCAATCCTATCTACACGTGCCTTCCTAAACTAAGCATCCTTATGCAATATAACCCTAGCTACCTTGCTTTCCCAATTCATTTCTTCTCCGACACTAACCTCAACCTTTCCAAAACATTACACAAACCACCGCGCCACCAAACTAAAATCTAAAGATCTACCTCTCATCCAATCAAAATTCAAAAATCACTACTAGATCACTACCACCAATTTAAAAATAGAAATCACTACCAAATCAAAATCTAAAAATTAAAATCACCAAAACACCTCCACGAAATAGCCACTTTAAAAGAAAAAATCTAATCACCAAACTCCACACCTCTTCTTCACCGTTTTTAGTCTTTCTTCCACCACTATTTTTGATACCCACTTTATTCTTCAAAATATTCAGACCTTTCACATATCTTCGCACAAAATTTCCACCACCAATGACTACTTTAGTGTTGAGTCAGTTAACTTTTAATATTTAATAGTCCTAAAGAAGGAAATCACAGCAAAAAGAAAAAAATATATAGCCCTGTGCTAAAATGTATCTCTGCAAAATGAAAAATTTGCTACTAAAAGTTTTGGTAATTGAAAAGGTAACATAAAAACGAATAAGAGTAGAAGAAGCAGAACTTGGAAAGGAGAAGAAAAACGCTGAAGTAAAGCTTTTTCGATCAGTGGTGGTAGAGACAGTAACTCATGGAATTGATACCAAATTGTGGTATCGATCCAGTAGAATATCAAACAAAAACTAGAATTAGAGAAGAAGATAAGAGTTTGAACGAGAGAGAAGCAGAATTTGAGAGACAAGAAGAAGAGATGAAGGAGTTAAATTCATATATCAATCTCGGTACTTTTACAATTGTGTTTCATCCTATTTATAAGACATAAATGAAACTATTGCTGAAATAAAGAAAAAGGAAAATACACACATGCAAAATGTGTAGCACAAACAATAACCACTTTTTCTGCCAAAAACTCATTAAATAACTTTCAAATGCTAATGACTAATATGTGTATAGATACCCCCCGGTTGAACAACGCCCTTGTCCTCAAGGGTGAAAGAAGGAAAGAGAGTTCGAAGAGTAGAAGCCAACTCCAAAGTAGCATAGGACATATCCAAACCTGTCCACTTAACCACACACTGGGAAACATCATTGTTGCCCTTCTTGATCAGCTCTATCTAATATCATCTTAGGGGTACGGCAGAATTGACTGGACAAATCCACCACAGAAGGGTGGATAATTGCATGAGGAACCTCATGATAGAATTAGAGTTGGGAGACATGGAAGGTGAGGTGGATCAAGACTTCAGGTGGAAGCAGTAGTTTGTAGGCAACAACTCCAATTTTCTCAATAATTGGATGAGGGCCAAAATAGAAGGAGGTCAACTTGTGATAGGGAAAGGTGGACAATGAAGATTGTCTGTATGGTTGAAGATTTACAAAGAACCAATCACCAACTTGGAATTTCTTGTCAGACCTGTGGGCATTGACTTGAGCTTGCATTCTCTATTGTGCTTGTGTGAGCTGAAACTTTACTAAATGGAGTTTGAACTCTCGTAATAAAGAAATAACCTCAATAGACTCGACCTCAAAATCTCCAGGTAAGTATGGCAAATGCAGTGGAGGAGGATAACCATAAAGAATCTCAAAAGGAGAAGTATTAATAGTAGAATGTGGACTGGTATTGTACCACTATTCAGCTAAGGCAAGGAAGAGAGACCAATCAGAAAGAGAATCGGTGCAGAAACATCTCAAGTAAGTCTCTAAACATCGGTTAAGTACCCCTGTTTGACCATCAGTTTAGGGATGGTAAGTAGTAGAAGTGTTCATAGTGACTCCCTAAGCAATAAGAAATTCTTTCTAAAAATAGCTAATGAAGATGGGATCTCTATCACTTGTAATCGATGCAGGGAATCCATGGAGTTCAAAGATGTTGTCTCGGAAAATAGGGACAGGAGATTGTATAGTGTAAGGGTGAGCCAAGGCAATAAAGTGAGCATGTTTGGTTAAGCGATCAACGATGACTCATATGACAGTTTTGCCTAGAGGCTTAGGAAAACCTTCAATAAAGTCCATTGTTATGTCTGTCCAAGGAAGAGCAAGAATAGGCAAAGGATGGAGAAGGCCAGGAGAGGCCCCAGTGTCATACTTATTCCTTTGACACACAGAACACTTATGGACAAAGTTCATAATGTCAGTTCTAATTCCTTTCCAATAGAAGTAAGTAAGCACATTCCTTATAGTAGTATCAATACCAAAGTGACCCCCAGATGGAGTAGAATGCCAAAGTGTGAGTATCTTGTTTCTCAAAGCAGCATTATTGCCCACTAGCAACTTGCCATTTCTTCTAAGCTGTTCATTCACCAAAGTGAAATGTTTCTTGGGTTGCTGCTGCAATGAGGTGATAAGAGCCTATAGTTCAGGATTTGAATACCAACTGGTTTGAGTGTCCTTCCATAAGAGCCATCAGTGATGCCCCTTAAACTCTGGATAACGAATCAATAGCTACATTTCCCCTCCCTATTTTGTATTGGACCTCACGGTCAAAAGGTAGAAGTTTGGCCAACAACCTAATCTGAGAATCATTATATAGTTTCTGCTCCAAGAGGTATTTTAGTGCTTTCTGGTCAGTCCTGACAATAAAATATTGGCTAAGAAGATAATGTGACCATTTGGTCACAGCAAAGACCAAGGCCAAGAGTTCTCTTTCATAAACAGACAAAGCAACATGCGTGGGTGTCAATCCCTTATGAATGAATGCTATAGGATAGTTGTTCTGCATAAGAACAACACCAGTGCTATACCCACTATGTTACGACCCAAAATCTACTAGCCGTGATGGCACCTAACCCAACCCGTTAGATAATCCAATTAACGATTATCCATTTTCAATTAACTTAATAAAATAATTAAACAAAGGAATTATCTGAATCTTATACATCCCAAAGAACTGGCAGTACGAATCATGAGCTTCTAGCTGATATGAAGTAAATACATCTTCTGTTTGAAAAGTACATAAACAGAATTTTTA